TGAAATATGAAAGCCGTAGCACTAATCGTTCAAAAGTTATGACCTAGGTAAAAGTTTTTCAAAAGTAGGTCAAACTCCAAGGTCAAGGTCAAAGGGTAAATGTTGTTGGTATCCAAAGGAAGGTCTTGTCAAGGATTACATATGTGAAGTATGAAAGCCCTTAGCAACAACCGTTCAAAAGTTATGTCCAAGGTTAAAGTTTTCTAAAGGTAGGTCAAACTCCAAGGTCAAAGGTCAAAGTTGTTAGTATCCAAAGGAAGGTCTTGTCACAAGGATTACACATAAGAAGTATGAAAGCCCTAGCAACAACCGTTCAAAAGTTATGGCCAAGCTTAAAGTTTTCTAAAAGTATGTAAAACTCCAAGGTCAAGGTCAAAGGGTAAAAGTTGTTGGCATCCAAAGAAACATCTTGTCACAAAGATTACAAATGTAAAGTATGAAAGCCTTAGCACCAATCGTTCAAAAGTAATGGCCAAGGTTAAAGTTTTCTAAAGGTAGGTCAAACTCCAAGGTCAAAGGGTCAAAGTTGTTGGTATCCAAAGGAAGGCCGTGTTACAAAGATTACATATGTGAAGTATGAAAGCCCTAGCACAAACCGTTCAAAAGTTATGGCCAAGGTTAAAGTTTTTCAAAAGTAGGTCAAAATCCAAGGTCAAGGTCAAAGTTGTTAGTATCCAAAGGAAGGTCTTGTCACAAGAATTACATACGTGAAGTATGGACGTCCTAGCATCAACCATTCAAAAGTCATGGCCAAGGTTAAAGTTCGGTAAAATTTTGCAAAGCTGGGTCAAACTCCAAGGTCAAATATGGTGGTACCCAAAAAAAAGGTCTTGTCACAAGAAATACACATGTGAAATATGAAAGCCATAGCTCCAACCAATCAAAAGTTATGGGCAATGTTAAAGTTTTTGCGGACAAACAGACAGACAGACGGACAGACAGGGCAAAAACTATATACCCCCGAATCTTTGATACGAGGGCATAAAAACCACAGATACCAAGGATACATCTTGATGGTCTAGTCGTAGGCCATTTTATTGATGTCTAATCAAAACTGTAGGAGTGGCGTTTTACAAGAATTCCATTCCCCCCCCCCCTTTTTTTACTAACCATGGCAAAATCGTTCATCGATACCAACAGCCGATAAGAATTATGTATTCTACATTTGTATCAATGTTCCATCGATATTAGACCAAAATTATAGGACAACCAGCATTTTGAAAAATGATTTTCACAGAAATAACCATGCCAACATCGATCGTCGAAATCATATAATATTATACTTATGTACAATGTACGTCTTACTGGAATCTACTGGTGAAGCAAGTTCTATTGATATCGGACCGAAGCTGTAAGAGGATTTTGAAAAAAAATATATATATAGGCAGAAAGGGACTTTGAAATCCGATATGCAGAGTTACATTTTAGTAACATTTCAATTGAAATCGGACCAAAACAGTAAACCGAGTTCAAAAATACAGACAGATGCATACAGTGTACTTTATAATTACCAATGCACAGGCTCTTCTGGCTCTAATTACTCATCGTTTGTATGTCTGACAGTATCAGCTACTGCGTTCGAATGACGTGGTTATATTAAATCAATTTAATAAAAGAAAGGGTTAAGACATACTGTACAGCTCAAATTAATCAAGGGGGCAGCACTCAGCACCATCTGCACAATGACGATTCTCGTTGATTTGGAGGTGGAAGAATGTGGGATACGTAAAAAAAAACTTTGAGAATTCTCTCGGGGAAGCAGGGTAAACCTATGACCTAGGAATGATGAGGACACGTTCACATGGAAGATTTTTCGATTTTTTTAGTGCACCACTGAAGGATTGGGGCGGAGGTCTGGAAGAGAAAATGGCAATTTGTCAACTTGTTAGAAAGAAAACGTCAGCATCATTCTCGGCATATTTCATGCATTATGACTCTTTGAGGAAAAAGATCGGTCATGGTAGCCTAGTGGTGCATTGTAGGGTGTTCGTGATCAGTAGGGCCGGGTTCGATTCTCGTAAGTCAAGCGCCCGGCGTTAGAAGTGACAGTTACGGGTCATTCGGATGACACCTTAAATCCCAAGTTCCCGTGTCACGGTAGGCGTTGGCACGTTAAAGAACCCTAGCCTCACTGCCCAATGGCCCTAAGTGCTGAGTATTGGTCTAAATTTGAAGCCAATTATTGAAAATTATATTGATAAGTTATCTCCTAAATCATGGAAAATATTTATAAAATTTCGTACCGCAAATCATCATCTACCAGTAGAGACTGGAAGATGGTATGGTATACCACTGTGTGATAGAATATGTACACTTTGTAATAATACTCAAACTGCTGATGAATTTCATTACATCTTAGAATGTAAAACTTTAGCTATGTAGGAAAAAATTACTTGGGCAATTATTATTCCCACAGACCGAATGTTTTTAAATTCATGGAACTAGTGTCAACTCAAAACGAAAGAATGCTGAAAAAACTATGTATGTTTATCCTAAAAATCAATGATTCTGTCTGTTCTCCTTGGTATATTTTCCCCTCTTTTATTTATTTATTTATTTTTTCAATCTTCTGTCATGTTTTTTTGTTTGTATATGTACCTCTGACCAGTTTTGTATATAATGTATATATGTTATTAATGTACCCAATGTACCAATATTTTGGTTTGGGTGAATAAATAGAACCTGAACTTGAAGCCTTTCACTAGTAAATGGTGACGTTTCTATTTGAGTAAAAATGGGACGCAAAACAACATACAATCAATCAATCTGTCGAAAAAGAATACCAAGTTCTGATTTCATTTTTAATAGTTAATCTTATAACCAGTAGTTTGTTTTTTCATACAAATTTAAGGACATATGCAAAGTACCTTGCCTACTGATAATTTTTCAAGATATTCCTAATTTGAGATTATAGTGCCATCAGATGTTCGTAGACAAAAAATCAGCATGTATTACCAAGGGTTCTGAAACGATATCAATTGATGAAAATTCTTGTATAATTCAAAGAAAAATATACAAAAATTACTAAACATATTCTAAATGTTTTGTTTATCCAAACTTGTTTTAGAAGAAGTGTACAACAGCATATACAAACATTAAAATGTTGCACACAGTTCCTTCAACTATTGGAACTCTTCAACTCCATGAAAAAGACAATAAAGTTTAAACTACGTTGCATATGTCCTTAAATAAAATTTGAGTCGGCACACGTTATTATGCTTTATATTATGCCCATATCACAGTATCTGTATCTGAAGCTTTTAAAGAACAGAAACACTTTGGAAATATATTTCTCTAACAAAACTACAAAATATGAAAAAAATATTCATGTACTAGTAATAGAACAAAATGTATTGCTAATGTGGCAAGATATCCTTCTTGCAGCTCAGGTCTGATAATATCATAGCGAAGCAAAACTTTAAGCACACACTCCAGTATCTATAGAATGACCAAATATAACATTCGTGAAGTAGTATAGTATACTCATTATCATATTTCTCATCAACTGAAATTTTGTAAAATATTTCAGGTTTTACCTTTTTGAAAAATCGAACTGTGGTTAATCTGATGAATTTTGTGGGGAAAAGACCCATGCATAAAATCAACAACATCACATCAGAATTCTACCAAAAAAAAAAACAACAAAAAACCCTTCATTTAATTAATCATTTGGCCAAAACATTCACTGTAAATGAGGCACAGCTTGAACGAAATGGATTTAGCCTTATATTTAACCTTTAATTTGACAGATCACTATACTCTAAATCTTGTTGCAGAACGCTACATCATTAAGCCCATTGGACAAAATAATATGACCTTTTAAGTTCTCTGAAATCTAAATTTCTTTTCAATGAAGTTACATCTGTACATCTAATTGAATATTTACACATGAAAATAAATAAAGAGATTAACATGTAAATGCATTAAATTGACAGGGTGACCATAGCTGTCTTGTTTTTGTGAACTTTAGTGTACATGGTATAATTTTTGTCAACAATATAATGTAAACTTCAAGATTATTTCAAACTAGATCAAGGCTATAACATTTTGCTCACACGCATGACTTTTTTGAGCATTGCAAAGGGAGAAATACAGCTACAGGCTTGAGAGGACGAGGAGTCTTTAATACATATTTAACTGTATAATGCTATGAAATAACACCCTAGTAGTCTGAAGTACTTCTCTTTTTATGCTCTTTAATAAAAAATACTATAATTTGCTTAAGTATCTTCATCAATTTAACCATCAAAAAATAAACACATAACTAGAAGGCATTGCTTGCTCATAGAGCTGTAACATAACTTTTAATTTGAAAAATCACATCTGAGACAATTTAAGCCTTAAATCTTGATGCAGTAAGCTATATAAGCTATAGATGGTGCTATCTCTTTTCTCCTCTGATCTATACTTTTTTACAAATATCAATATATGTTCAATATGCTCATCAAGAATTTAAGAAAAATTATTAATGCAAATTACATTGCGTGGAGTCAGATAAGGTTTTCAAATATCTCATGTTCATAAGAAACAAAATTCAGAATGTGAAATGTTTGACATTAAATTCTATCTGAATTTTGTAAGCATTGGTTTTGTTTTATTCTTTGTAAAAAAAAAAATATGATTTTTATTTTCATGTACTTTTATCTTTCATAAAGTGCCATTAACCTTGGCATTATGGCCTTGAAATTCAAAATGAAACATCATCCAGACCAATGAACTAAATACTGGTATGTGAAAAATCATATACCGGTAACAGATCAATTTGCAACATAAATATTACTACTGCAATTTAATTTCTTTTTCATCCAAATGTTAACATATCCTTGAATTTTGACCAAGAATATGATAGGGATCTTCCTCCTATGATGTTCTACCAACTTCTGATAAGTAATAAAATGGAAAACCCTCCAGCCTGCAATTAAGGTCTTTCCATCAACAATAAAACATAACACCCAAAAACTTCACAAGCAGGGTAAAAAAATTAATTCTGATTTGGTAAGCATTCTCCGTAAGCATTCTCTGTAAATTCTCAGTATGTACATCAACAAAACAAATGGTCAGAAATAAATAAAGTTAGAATTATATAAATAATACTCTCTTTGACAATAACAGTACCTGAGAGAGAGACATAAATGATAATTCCTTTCTGAGTTCAGAGATTCTTTAGAACAAATCATCTAAAGTTTTGGTTTGGATAAATTCAAAAATATTACAAGTCAAGTGTTTAAATACAAAATAATCACTAGCAAATAAGACTAACTTCTTCACAGTATACATATGGCTCTCTTAGAATCAATGCTATGTTAACTCTTGGCAGAAACCTTCCTAATGGACTGATTAACAATATCTCTCATGTAAGTTATAGTCTCTTTTGGATTGTCACTGTTGATTATAGCACTTCCAGAAACAATCATTGTAGCACCAGCCTGAAATAAATAACTAAAGCTGAGTTTATTCCTGACAGCTATCTAGTAAACAATTTAATGCTTGTTAATATACATAACTTAAAATTATACAGTGATTGAAATGACTCAGCACTTGCTTTTATTTTAGGTTTACTTACGTCTGCACAATACTGAATTGTTGATGGTCCAACACCCCCATCTACCTCAATTTCCAAATCACTGTACCTCTCTCTCAAGAAAGAAACCTGTTCATAGATTGATGTTTTCAAAAAATCATGGTATACAAGATTTCTTGCATTTCAATGCTGTGAGTGTCATTGGCCAGCTACTTTTGACAAGGATTTCTTGTTTAATAATTAATGTAATGTACATTGAGAGTAGGCTAATACCCCTGATGGGGAACAAACAAAATGAGAGAGTGCACAGTTGAACTCTTCTTCTTTCTTCCTTTCTAATCATTTTTACATTGTATAAGACCTTTGCTTAAGGTATGTCACTCGTGAAATTAGTTATATCAAGGATTTTTTGACAAGTATAATTTAGATAAGTACTCATATAGGATGATTCAAAGTCGAAAAGAAAATTAGGGATCAGTGTACATCTTACTGAGCAATGGTACAATTATTTGACCTTTTAGCATTTAAATTGTAACTCTTGGGTTAATTACTTTAACCTTTATCATATTTTATCAGATGTAATCATAGCAATAAATATAATCTTGTTTTATGTAAAATAGTTTGAATGATATGTATCATTGAACAATTCATGCAAATTAATGTGCATAAATCATTGTTTGACCTTTTTGCACTAAAATGTATCATATTTGGGGTATTAAAAATCTTAATAGGCAATAAAATATTTTCTCGCATTAAACTTTTTATGACTTATATTGTTGATTGGTTGGAAGTACTGTGTAGTTTAAAATAATGAAAGAAAAAGTTGGGGTCAGTGATGTAATTTTGAGATATTGGTCAAAATATGCGATTTTCAGGCAAAAAACAATGTAAATTTTATCTTGATTTCTTTAGTATATTTTCATTTCTTGGCAAAGTCTGTTGAGTGAATGTGTAAAATTTGTTCTAAAAATATACATTGAAACCTATATTTAATATTCCTAGCATATAATAATGGAAAATATTCTCTGAGTAAAAATATGTGGGGTTAAAGTGCCAACTGAAGATATTAATTATAACAAATGTGTAGATTTGAAGAATTTTCTTCCAAATATTCTTCCATCACAAAAAAATAGTCCCTCATAAATCTTGTTTCTTTATGACTTTGTGAGCATCAGTTTTTAAATTGAATATTGTATAATTTGCATTGTTTCATTCAAATATGTTATAAAAATTGAATTGTAATGAATAGTTTTGAAGTTATAGGTTCTAACCGAACTTTTCTTAAAAGCTGACGAGTGGCATACCTTAAGTCTTTTACATACAATACACTTAAAATTCCATGTTTTATACTTGCTGCACAATACTAAGATCTGAAGGGGAAAATCTGAAATCCATGATTCTCTCTTTCAAATGATCTCTAGTTTAAGATGTGACACCTAAAATGGTCAAAAGCAACCTACATTGTACAGTACTTGTACACTGTAGCTATTAACCATATCTCCTTTTCAAGTTTAATTTAGAGGCGTTATGTGGTTGTAAAAACAAGCACTAGAATCAATCATGAAACTTCACTGCAATTCTCTCCTTGTTGCTTACACAGAATTCAATCTATCGCCATTAATATACATAACATTTGATTAAAATGTTCAAAGATTTTGTTTCTTTGTTGACACAATATAAACATTAAAAAAACACATTATTCTGCCATAAATAAACAACATCATATCAGTTGAGGCAAAATCTTTAAATCAAAGACATCATACAAGATCGTGCATTTTTGTATAAATTTAACAATACCTTTGGCATCATGTCTGCCATAAACCTCTGGCCTCCAAATCCTGGTTCCACAGTCATTATGAGAACCATATCTACTAGGTCTATTAATGGCACTAACACATCAACTGCTGTCTTTGGTTTTATCCCAACACCAACCTTAATGGAAAGGAATTTAAGTGTTAATACCATAATTTTATCATAATTAATTAAAAATAAATTGTGAGAACAAATTTGTATCAAAACGCATAGAAATTTAGCTGCCTTTATTCCTTAAATACAATGGTTTCATCAAAATATTGTGAATTATTTTTGCAGTGCTTCATCAGAATTTATACAGGCTTGCTCTTTTCTGAAGACTTGAGTCCATGAGGATTCGCTTTAACAAACTCGCTAATCATTGCAAATTTAAGGGGAGCACACCAAGTGCACGCTCCCCTAAAATTGTCAAATATAAGGTCAATCATTGTTCTAATTTTGAAAAGAAATGAATTTTTTGATAAAGGTAATAAAAATATTTTTTTTCTGTATTCTTCTTGCAAGGCAGAGCTTCTGGAGGCTAGATTCCTAAGCTTTGTTTCCATAGACCTTAAAATACATGTATTAATTAAGTTTTATTAATTCTTATCATTAATTATGATGATCGACTCTTATCATTAATTATGATGACTCTTATCATTAATTATGATGACAAGGAATAATAAAATGTCTTTCTAAAATATTTTATTTCTTCTCCAGAATCCAGTAGCTTCTGGGGGCTTTGCCCCTTGGCCCCCCACAAGGGCTTTGCCAGGGTTCTCACTAGGATTTTGCTAAGTTGAGTCCCAGGACTCAAGGTTTCTGAGAAGGTTGCGTCCCAGCTAAATTTGATGCGTCCCAGAAAAATTCTGTTGAGTCTCAACTAAATTATTGCAGTATCCTTCCATCCAAACATCGATAAAAATCTTTATCATCTTATCAGTTTGTTTACGCAGTATTAACATATTCAAGTATATAAACTGGTAATGCATTCAAGCTATATTCTAAATTACACGCGTAATCAATTGCCATAAAAATAACTTGGTGTTTATAAAGCTAAAATTAATTGTTGCATAATCAGCTAGTTGACTGTATACAATCACAGGTGTCATGTGCAATGAGGCGTAACTAATCCTGTCGGTCGTCTGCACTGGGTGAAATTCACGAGATAATCAAGCCGCATTGTGTATACAAGCACTAATTATGGTTTCTACATGTAGATAACACTCAAGATTCAAAAGTGTTTTTTAAAAAAAAAGCTGCAGTGTGTTTACAGCTGTCAGAGTTTGGCATGCGACACTATTATGACTATGGACTAATAAACATGAAATATCTTATGATCAATCCCTGTTTAAAAAAAAGAGAAATAAGTATAAGAAAAGTTGTTTCTTCGATAAACTTTATGATAGTTACAGGAAGGTTTCGATTAAATATTTCTTTGACAAATCCTAACATCTAAATTCCCCGTTTTCGAAATCACCAGAATTTTCTCGCTAACGAGGACGCGTCCGATCATGAGTCCGCGGACGCATCGTTTTTAAGAACCTTGCGTCCCAAGTAATTTTGCTGCGTCTAGGACGCAGATTCTTGCGTTAATGAGAACCCTGCTTTGCCCTGGACTCATTGGGGGCCTCAAGGTGACCCCAGACCCCCTGCCTAATCAGCCCCCTAACTTCTAATCCTGGATATCTGCCCCCTGCTAATGAGAGTCTCAGTCTAAGTATTTGATGACATGTGCTATTAATTTGTTTTTTATCCTAATCAATATATCCATCTGTATCTGATATACTATTCAAGAACCTGGATTAAAAAAATATTCTAATTTTCAGTTTACAGCAGTCACATCACCTTCATTCCAGCTTCCCTGATCTTTCTTATACACCCAGTAGGGTCATCTGTTGCCTCATAATGGAATGTATACTGGTTTGCTCCTGCATCTGCCATATTCTGTACCCACTGTAAAGTCAATGTCAAATAGGAATCACTCATATATTTTTAATGCCTCACTTAGCCAGGGCTGAGGCAAGAGAGTTACTGAATATTTCCTACTGTTGAACACTGTGTTGAAAAAAAATTTCCTTTTCAGTGCCTAAAAACTTTTTTATTTTTTAATAGAACTGATATCAACTTCAGATTTAGATTAGACTTTAGATTAGAAATTTCTAAAATGGAAAAACAGCTAGCAAGTTTTTCAGCAAAATCATGCATTGCAACATGTAGCAATTTTATAAGTTACATGTATATACCACAAGTTCAAAATTCAGAAGCCTTACATTCCTGAAGTGAATAACTTACTCTGTATTCAGACTCAGAAATTAGAAACAATGAAAATTCAAAGGACTTGCCTAGTATCGTACACACGAATGAAAAAGCAAAATAAAAAATAAATTTGAAAATATGACATAACTTACATGAAAATCCATCTCATTTTGAACATATTGAAATGTAAATGTTTTTTGCATTGTAACTTTGCACAAAAACTTGGCAATAGATCATTGCTGGTGCACATACAGATCTGACAACATTGAAAAATTCACATTCTGAAAACATGTAATTGATCTAAAAGTGTTCAACTACATGTACATGTTTACTGATAGAGGCCAATGAGGTATCCTAATCCATTCAATTTTCTATTTCTGACTCAAAACTCTAATAAAATTCAACATTTTCAACTACAGTAATTGTGATCTTTCAATTTTTTGACTGAATCCAGTATGGTAAAAATTATATCACACTGCCAGAGAAAAATAATTACAGCATCATCATGATCATCCTGTTAATTTTTAGCATCTTCAGGAGAAATAAATAAATCTACTCAGGACTGCTACCAAAAAGAAAATAATTTAAATCCCATCCCTCTTGTTTTTGTCTTATAATCTGTAATGGACTGGTGTAAATAGCACCATGGTTATTATAATTATCTACTGATATATAAAGCACATAAGCTACATGTACAACTAGTCTAATGTTTACAAGATAACAATATATCTGCAAGAAAACTGCACGTATAATGCTATTAAAATATAAGTGGATACATCCTAATGTGATGTCACCTTCCTTGACTTACATTTGCCTAGGCCCAAGTAAATTTAAGATTTCAAAATAGTGCTGGTTTAGTTTGATGACTCAACTATGAGTATGATAAAACTACGGAAAAAACCCTCTCAATGTTGAACATTTCTCTTTATAAAGACCCTGTTTCTCGATAATAAAACATACAGATTTAATGAATGAAGAGAAAATAAACACTCACCTGTTCTGGGTTTTTTACCATCATATGCATATCAAAAAACACTCCAGGCACTTTTGGTCGAAGGCATTTAACAACAGGGTGTCCAAATGTTAGGTTTGGAACGAAATGCCCATCCATAACATCAAGATGCAGATAGTCTGCACCACTGTCCATTAGTCTCTGGCATTCGGAGGCTAATTTAGAAAGATCCGAATTAAGAATTGATGGACCAATTTGACACTGTTTTCCACTGCAGGGGGCTGCCATCTTGATTTGGATATGATGAAGGTCGAACCCGATCATTTTAAAAATATGTATTTCTTTATATACTTTGATTACCTGTAAATCTATAACGAGGCAAGATACACCTGTAATATTTACAGGTTATATTCACCATTAGTTGTACTTCAATTTTGAAAAAGAGTAATTTTCGAAATTTTTTGACATAAGAGGGGTTTTTGCTTGGAACAGTTCAAATATTCTCTTAAAGCTAAGCTATCTATCTATCTATCTATCTATCTATCTATCTATCTATCTATCTATCTATCTATATATATATATATATATATATCTATATCTATATCTATATATATATATATATATATATATATATATATATATATATGGCGTATCTGAGCTAAAAATGATAATACGAGATTGAGTGTAGATACACATGATATAATGTTATTTACTTCCAAATTAAAATTTTCACCGATTTTGAACTCGAATAATCTCACATTTCTATAATTAAATTGACTTTAAGTGTCTTTTATTTAAATGTGGAGTCGGTAAATAAATCGGTTATTTTTAAATTTTTGATATCTTTGAAATAGATTTAAATTGTGTAATTTACAGAAAAATCCTTTCTCTAAATAGAGTAATCAGTCAAATAGAAAGATATTTTACATTTTGGTTATCTGAACTTATCAAAAATACGCCACATATCGCCAAACCCCCTGACTCCGTCACTACCCTTACTTTCGGGAAATAAATAACAATTACATGTGATCTATTGTAGCTATCATATTTTATAAGAAATCAGTAAGTACTTTTATGCGCTATTCCATCGATATCTCAGAGATATGCGTCAATATGCTCATTTTTACACGTCAGTCATATTCATGAAGGTCTTTACCAAAGGATTGATATGATATTCCATATTGAATACGGTTAAATATGTATTTTATTTTTCGTCTAAATTTTCCCCAATATGCTACACGTTGGAGATAACGTAGCGTGACGTTATTACATATAAAATACGTTATATTAACGTTATTTTTTCTGTTTTTGATACTTTTTCTAAAATACAATTTAATACCATTTTAAATCGTCAAAACTAATTTTCTCTGTTTACAAGTTTAAGATGAAGGGAGAAAAAACTAAACTGGCAAAAAATATTTAATTAATAAGTTGGCATATTTTAGAGGGCACTGGTGACGGAGTTAGGGTTCACTAAACGTAATGTACACGGATGTAATAAGCGTTCTATTTATAAAAGTTTTGTATAAGCCCAATCACTGAATTTTTTTAAATAGTTCTGAAAACAATGTTTAAGTTCATTACTAAGTGTAGCAATCAAGAAACAAATCAAAAAATAATTCAGAGAGTAACCCGACGTGTTTTCCGCTTATGGTGACGGAGTTTGGGTAGTAAGGGATATGACTTTAACTGTAGATCAAATTCGGATTTTTTCCCTGTTCAATATACATCACCCGAAGTCCATGCATGTTTATCATTTCATTACCGCCTTCAAATGATTATTTATTTATTTATTTATTTATTTATTTACTTATTTATTTTCAATTTATTAAATTTTATTTATTATTATTTTATATGTTTTTGTACAGTGGTTGTATTATTCAGATAGAAAAATACACATGTAGATTGCAAATGTATCGTAACGTCTTCTTACCGCCATATTTATCTACATATACTTATATACTATTGTATCCGATATATCTTCGATTTTTCATTTTCAAATTTTTTTTTTTAATCTTACGCTATTGCTATATGTTCTATCACGTCTGCGTTGTATGCCATGATGATTTATCCAAATGAATTAAAGTTTAAAATAACCTTTGAAATATATTTTATTTAAATTTTTAGCGACTTCAGGTACAATTCAAAATGAACATGCCGTTGTGTAACATTTAATACCGTTGTAAATTGAACTCAGAAGTACGAGCATTGCTTTAAATGCAAATTTACATCATATATTTACATAGTATAATGTGCAATATATACAGTAAAGGGATAGATCAAGAAAATGTAGTTGGAGAAAGAGATTGTATTTAAAAGTATATTGACATATACACAGAGGAGAATCAGGTTTATCCCTCAGTATTTGATTGAATAAGTCTATCACGCTTATCATTTTACAAATCTCTAAATTGCTAAATAACATTTTACCTATAATTTCACTTACCTGCTTGTATGGTTATTTTTTCTTCTCTGAAGAATCAGCCAGTAGTCGCATAAGTGTATATATATAAAGCATGAAATTTTGCAAACATGGTAAGATAAATACATATTTAAATACGTGAAATGTCGTATTTGCCTGAATGTAATGCTTCAAAATCCCCCCCCCCCCCCCGAAACACACACACACACCCAGAGATATTTGACATGACATGTATTTGCCCTCATTTCAGAGTTCTTTTAATCTTAGTTATTATATACCCTACTTAATTATTATTGTTAAATATTTAATCTGGAATTCAAGGCAATGGTTCGATTTTTGGCCTTGAAATGAAAACTTGTGAATGAACTCTACCTTAGTTAATGAAATAAACTTAAAATAATTTTGTAAAAATTTTGTTCCCTCTGTAATTTTATGTCATCTCTTCAATTTTGACAAGAAAAAGTAAAATAATTCAAAATTACATTTTTAATCAGAGCAGAATCTGTTCAATTTCTTCATATCAAAGAATTGGTTTCTACACCTTGCTGAAGATTTCTGGAAGTTTCTCGAAGCACAGAAATATCATTTTCCACCCAATCTTCAGAACGGATATGAATTCTGAGAACGAACTTGAAATTACCTCCCATCTAAAAGAAGGTAAAAAATACAAACATATAATGTACAAGGAAAATGGGACTAAACTTTCGATAATATTATCTTTAAATCACTTATGCATTATTTTTAGGGATGACAATTTGTAACCGGTTAACCGATTACTCGGTCGGCAATCGATTAGAAAATCTGTAATCGGTTAATCGGAAAAAATAAAATATTTGTTAAATTGAACACATTTTTAAAAAAAAGTATTTAAAAAAAGAAATCTCTGCACAAAGGATAATCATTTGGAATTTAAAGGATCTAATTTTGACTTACATGTAATTATGAATCTCCAGACTGAGACCGTTGCGTAATTGGTCAGTTTATGTAGTGTTAATTACCGTGAAAACACCATGTCGTTACCCCGACTGTCCTGTATTGATAATAATTGAATCATTGAGCACTGTGAATTGATGTGTTTGTCGTTTTCAGTTTTCAATCCAATTTACATGTAATTATTAAACAAACATTGTAAATCAAGGGCTATAGAGTTCACATGTAGTTTTGATTATCATAGTGAAAATGCAGAAAAAAACTTTTGGGACATCTGCTCTGGAAAATTATCAAAGATTTCTTAGGGTTTTTTCATGGTTTTCTCAATTTTTCTTGTCTACTGAAATTTAAATAAAAAATATGTACCCGTATTTTTCTGATCCATGCAGAATCAAGACTAATGTTTTAACTTCTATCGTCTTATTTGGGTCTATTTGTGTATATATGCAGAGCTACATGAAAAACAATTGTCAAGAAAACGTGCATTTTGATACGATTACATGTAACCGGTTAATCGGTCGGAACGTCTTGCAGTTAACCGATTAGCAATTCTGTAATCGATTGCCATCCCTAATTATTTTAGTGGTAAAATTATCTTGACAATGACAATGACGATGATTTTATTCTCATAAATGTACAAACATACATTGTAGAGAGGAGGTAGGAAAAGATACAAACACAAGAAAAAGAATATAATACATTTATAATAAATGGTACAAAATATCATGTTAAGATTCAAATCAATTATTTCCATCTATAATTTGTTTAACAATCAACAAAAATTTGCATAATTTTTTCAATATTGAACAGTTTGTTGTTGAAAAAAGTTGTTTAAATTTCTCTATATTTGGTCTGCATATGAGATAATTTGAAATATATTTTAACCTAGCCTCTTTAATTTCTTTTTGTGTGCATTCAAAAACATAATGAAATTCATCACCAATCTTAATAAGATCACATAAAGTACAAATCCTTTCTTCTCTTGGAAGACCATTCCATCTACCAGTTTGAATAGGGAGTTTAAAATTGTTACATCTAAATTTACATAGTAAAGTTGAAAATTTTCGAGGCATGTTAACAAGATATCTTTCTGGTTCAAGTATTTCTTTATAAATTCGATAATTAACACCCTTGGATGAATTATAAACATTACTTTTCCAGTTTTGGATATTTTGGTCAACAAGTATTCTTTTTACTTTATTTTTAACCCATGCTACACATCTGCTGTGTTGTCCATAAATAAGATAATCCACATTCATCTAAAATATTTTTAACATAGTTGGCCCAAGGCAAATTATGTCTTGATGCCAGTGCATACATTTTTGTAGCAAATTTATCCATCGTTTGAGAAAAATGAAGTTTTGCCCAAAAAGTAACCATTCTCACCTTATTATTAATGATAAGTGGGAATCGGCCAAGTTCCCCATATACCATGAAGTTTGGCGTTTTAGTGTTCAAACCTAGGATATATTTACAATATTTTGAGTGAAGTTTTTCAATTAAAGTATTTTTTGTAAATCCCCATACTTCACATCCCTATAATAAAACTGGTTGAACAATTCTGTCAAACATATCTATCTGACAATCTTGATATGAGAGTTATTTACTCCACAGAAAAATCTATTAATACAATAATCTAGTATAAATACTGAAAAAGTTAATCCACTGTAGTTATTATCAAGTAATAAAAATATTTTCCCCCTTTTCACCCCAGATTTTACATTTTTTAAAAAAATATTTTTCATATACAGTTTATTTTCAGCTTCTTGCTGATAATATTATTTTACAGTATTATATTCGATCGTATATTTTAACAATAGGTTTTAAATGTACCTGAATATATACATACATGTTTATGCATATATATCTTCAAAATATAATTTCAACTGAACTAAATTATATGAAATAATTTCAAATCCTTCCAATAGCTACATATGCATTCCCTGAATATGTTTCTGTATATTCTATCTAAAAAGTCCAAAATTATTTATAAAAATTGGATGGATATAGACCTATTAAAAATCCGTAAAAATATATATAACAACTGTTCCAGAAGAATCATAATACACTTGAGAAAAAAAAATAGAATTTCGGAATTAAATGGCAATAGAAACGCATGGGTGGTGTTTGCAACGGTGCGATACCTCATCGTGGCCGCTTAAAAAAATGAATTGACTGATGTATGCAAAATTTGATTGAAAATCCAGACTTGAGACAGCCCCCTTATAACTATAAACCAAGCACCCAATTCTTTGATGTTCGTGCGAAACAGAAAATTCTATGAAATTTGATCTCTATTCTAAGGGGAGTCTGCCGGAATGAAGATCCCAGAGGGTCGAATTTTACCGTGTTTCCACGAGGAAGACAGGCTCTACAGATCTGACGGGTTGATAGTTTGATCGTTTTGATATCGATGAGGAGGTGTTAATTAGCGTTAAATTAAGCCTTCTTTTCGATTTATGACCAGACATGTACAATAAAATATATGAAATAAAATTCTTTGAATCTACCACAAAAATGTCATTTGTTGCTCCACTTTACACATACTTTTTAACAAAGACTAGTTAGACTCTATTATAAATGTGCAAAAATTACAATCAAGACTTAGATTAACTTTATATAGAATAACGTAAAAACCTCCAGAATTGTTCGTTTTAGTCGAATTTTATCTTTTTTTAACATGGCATGATAATGTTGTTTCTGTTTATTTACTTTATAGGATGTATATATAAATCCCTCATATTTAAATTTATTTTTCTCTCAGATTGAAATGTATGTAGATCGCTAAAATTTGGGTTTTCAAGTTACTAGAATGTCCAGGATGTGTATATTTAAAAAAATTGAATATATTTGTTAAAAGAAATAAAATAACAAATGCAGAAATAACTATTTTAAGCTTACACTGTACCTATAACTAACCATTTCAAAACATGAGATTATTCTTTGATATAATGCACAATTCTGTATAAGCACAAACATATAGTTTGGCGACTTCTGTGTACCGAAGATTTCCTGTTGCGCCGGACATCATCAAGACTAATTTTCCAGCTGTTATGATAACAGCCATCAGACAGTTATACGATGGGTTGTATATTTCCCACCAAATCCGAAACCACATAATTTTCCATGATTACTATATATATCTATTATATTCTTTTTTCAAAATATTCTTACAAAATTTATTGTACCAAAAAAAAAAAAAAAAAAAAAAAAAAAAAAAAGAAAAAAAGTTACATATTAAAGGTAAGTGAATTCAATATCCGTGGCCGTCTTTTTTGGAAGCCTTTTCCTTTGATAGTTTACCTTGGCATACATATTCAAGAGAAGATGCAACTGCACCATGCTGATTTTACGAGACATGTGCAGCCATAAAATTCGCACTTTTGAAACGCTTAAAAATCTTGCATTCGCAGATTAACAAATCTCTTTTTACGTTTGCGATTTTAAAAATTCGTCTCCATGTTTATATTTTGGATAACTTTACCACACGCAACCGGGATGGGTTTCCTGGCTGTCTGCACACGGAGCGATACAGGTGATAGTCCGTCAATTGCACGTGCAACGATTGCACGTGCATCTAATTTTAATATAAGATTTATAGCTTCTTTAATGATATTATAAACCTATGTTTACGACCTTTGGTTATAAACACACGTGGTTGCCAAAAGTCTTTTATAAGTTGGGTTTCACTCTGCCCAGCCAGAAGAAGTTCCCTCAAACAATGCAGCTTTTGTTGAGAAATTCTTTGCGATCACGTACAGCATGAGTAAACGTCAAATTGAAGAGAATAAAGATACTTTTTAAGTCTATTATCTGATATAAAATGAATAGATAAAAAATTGCCGCATTTTCTTCATATCAATTTATATACTTTTTGGAATTGACAGTTTCATAATCATACAAATTTGTCGTGTTCAGACTTCAGTTTAAGATAGGTCATTTCTTTTCACTTGCGAATAGAAACGATAAATAGTTTTCAATAAATCCTAAATTTTTGTAATGGACATTTGTAGTACCAGTTGAAATGACTGAATGAAAGATGGCCATTTCGAATTTTTTAAAAGAAAGTCTAATGCATCAGTTAAAATAGCTTCTGAAAAAATGGACATTCCCACAGCCATCAGTGAAGCATATGTCCCGAGAACCAACTTCGTCGACATTCTTGCTGTTCTGCCGGAAAATGTACGACATCTTTTGGCGATATCAATATCCCATTCATCACCAAGTCTGTCAGCAAAAGCAGATAGGCCACTTTCCTCCACACAGAAAGATGTTTGGAAAATAAACAAAGCTATCGGCGAAATAAAATATATCTTTAAAGTTAACAACTACTTTTTCCTCTCAAAACTGTATTTATCTTGTATCATATTTAGCTCATTTGATTTAGTTTTTTTTCTGAGATCCAGATTTTGAATCGAACCAGTTTACTTGGAAGTTTGCTGGGAATATGAAATTGAATATTGAAACTTTCTGAATTATTTTTTTTTAATTTTACATTGTATAAAAATAGGGTACGTAAAGAATTTCTCGTGAAACTGCATAACATTACAATACCATTAAGTATCTCAAGTGAATTGCAATTTTTGTAAGACAAGGTGGTATACAGCAAATCATATTGCAGGAAAACTGGCCACCATAACCAATCGTTTGTTATGCAATACGTAGATTACAAGAAAAGAGAGTAAATTAATAGTACCAAAACGTGGTGGAATTCCTGAATCTCAGTTTCGGCAACTGTGCGTGAAAAATTGCGTTCCTATTGGCCGAGCCCCGAGAACTCTCGCGGGAGGACGGACAGATTTTATCTCCGAAGTAGGAGAGTTCCTTTGCATTTCTTGGCACATCTGAATATCTCATTGTCGTTTCTAACAGTCATAGATTTATGACGGCAAGATAGGAATTGTCATTTTCTCTAAAAATAATGGAAGAACCAGAGAGGGGGATTAATTCTAATTCACAAAATTGTTCTTCCGGCCCTTGTTCCACATATTCCGCCATGGGACGATTTTTCCAGAGAACAAGTGCATTTGACTGTATGCACCCCTCTCAGTCGGGGGGTGTAGGACTAGCTCCAACACCCACAGGATTTGGATACTCAGCATACCCAGGTGATTGGGGATTTATGCACGGACCGAGCTACACACCCAGCTTTAACTTCAACAGAACTTTAAACAGTCCTTCCAATTTTTACACCGTATCAAGAGACTTTGGGACTTCGCTCGGACATACTGTGACTGGTCCACCTCCTTTAATTGGAGCTAGTGCGGGCTCTGTGGGAATTTCCTGTGAACCGGCGGATAATTATGGGTCCGGACTGTGTGGGGAATCGCCATGTTCTCCGGCAACCAGTGACAACTGTTTGTCAGATGATCTGGACAAAAAAGAAAACAAAGGACATGGTAATGCTCTTGAATTTTTGGTTTGATAAGATCCGTTGTTTTGCATGAAATTGCACCCCTAAAACAATTCTATTTAAAAGTGAGTACTCTTTTAACAAAACAAATTAGTAAATTTATTTTAAAAAAATCTATATGAAAATTTACAATTTTGCCAATGTACAATATTTTTTTAAAACTATAATTAAAAAAAAAATCGGTGAAATAAATCTTGGACCCTCTAGCCCTGCATAACCTACATATTGTTACATTATCGGAAAAATAATTTGCTAATTATCAGAACATGCAGAAGGGATAAATAAACTTAAGATATAGGGAAAAAATATTTCGTGAAACAAAGCTTGAGTTAAAATACAAACTTAGAGGTAACACGTGACTATAGCAGCTTTGTCATATTATAAATTTTGAACTTTGCGTCTGATGGTAAATATAAAATTGACGGTAAAATTTGTTTTTAAGCCACCCACTTCATTAATAACTAGTTTTCTATAGGGAAAATATTTTTGTGCATGAGGCAGATAAGTCTTAAAGTTGAATAATTGTTTATTAAAAGTTCTTTCTACAGAAAAAGTTAGAAACATGCAAAATTAATAAGGTTAAAACCTACCATCTTTTATTAAACATCTGTATATCGTTACTGAGTATTGATTAGTTTAATTATTATAGTCATTCCACTTACATGTAAGCCGAAGGTATTAATATATCTCTCTAACATTGTGCGCTATTTTGCCGATATTTTACTGAATGTTGTCAATATTGTGTCGTTGTTCTGAGTTATAATTAATTCAATTTAATTAGTATTTTATTATGTAAAGCCAGTTTACATAATTGGATTGGACATCAGGCATAAGTTGTTCTGAGTTATATTTATTGTAATTTAAAGAAAGCAATACTATATTTTAACGTTTAAATTCTTGTTATAAAGTAAACGTTAAGATGCATGTTACCGAAGACAATTTCAGAACTGTGAGTTTATGCCAGTAATTTTTAAGTCTTGGAAATTAGGGATCAAAGGGTTCTAAGAACCAACGGGGATTGTATTGAATAAATAGAAGATGATTATTTATTCTCATACCATAAAACCACTTGATGATAATTGATAATGACCGCAAACAGCAGCGAATACACCGCATGTTCTTTGGCGAAGTTTTGGATCATCATACAGAAAAATTATAATATATACATCAAGAGACACTTTCTGCAAAATCATGTTTGATATTCAAAATATATTTCAATAGAATAAAACAAAAATGCTTTTAAAGTTTTAGAAAGTATTGAATTTATTTCAGTATTAATTAATTGTCAACAGTCATACATTTGAAATCTTTGCCTTCCCTAATTTATTCTAGAGACATACTTATGCAAACTATAGGCATATTTTAATCATTGCCATGTTACACGGAGTAAAGTTATAAACAATAATACCATCAAAAAAATTTTTTTCTTATATATAAAAAAACAAGTAAAATGGTGAAATGTATATTTAATTTGATAAAATTTTGTAGTTGTTTGGAAAAGTTTATCGTAAGTCGTTTTCCCTCGTTTTAACAAATGCTTTGTCTTATTTTAACAAACCTGGATCACTTGCCAGATCTTTAAGCATTCAGTGAGATGGTTATCAGCCATGACAAATTAGTTATTAATTAATGATACTGACACGCGAATGACTTCATTTACACCAGTAAATGATAACGGGAGATAACATGATGGATTGAGGTACAAGCAGCCGATAGATAATTATCACGTGATAATGAAAAACCATATTTTAACCAAATTACTTTCCGGATGTTACGAAAGAAATTAATGTTTAGGTGTATTGTTTGATTAACAATGTTCAAATAACAATGTTGATGAAAACAATTGTCTCTAGAAGGAGTTGTTGTGAGAAAATAACGTTAACGTTAACGATGATCAAATTTTTTTCTCATGTTTGACAAAATCAAATTAGAATTGATAAACATACCTACATTCTAGAAAAACATTAGAAATTCGAATCAGCAGAATTTTCTAGAAAGTGCCTCGAAATGGGACTAAAATAATCAAATTGAGCAAAAATTCTAAATTTTGAAAATTGGGTATATTCAAATATATTTGTTATATTCTAATTGCAGATCATGAACAATTGTATATGAATGGTAAACAATATTAATGATTAATATCAATCTGTAGAATTAACTGTAGATGTAACCTTTTTAAAAATGTAGAATTTGAACACCTCATCATAAAAAATACTGTGTTCTTATTTTTTTAAATCAGTTTTGTCACATCAGTTTTATTTCCTGTAAAACTTTCCTTAGATCTTGATTAAAGTTATTGAGACATGCATCAAGATAAAATATTACACGGATGAAGGCAGACATGATTTTCAGCCATGCGTGTTCGATAGCAGAATCCCGTATCAATCGTGAGCTCTAGCAAATTACCACTTCTAAGATAATTAACCAGATTATCTACAAAATTACATAAAATATATTAATCTACCTACTTAAGAAAATCACATTTACGAAAAGATTGAAATATTTGTTTTGCATTGACTTCATAAATCTTAGCTTCAATGTAGATAAAGATAACATGCACGAGTAACACATCCTTTTTATCGAAGATTTATTCGAATATAAAATTTGTACAAAGAGAAAAAATAAGAATCTTTTCCAATTGCATTCAAATGCACTGCAACGATTTTCTGGATAAATTGGACATTCTACAATTCATTCGAAATTCTACGATATTGTGAATAGTGCAATATTAAACAATATGAAATAAATATTAATCAATGAATTAATTAAGCTACAATTCTAGAGTTGAAATAATGCAAAGGAATACATTATTGTTCAAATGATGTTCTCCAGTTGTTACATTTCGATTCGAATTATGTAAATTATTTGCATTTAAATTGAGATGTACATGTATACTGTCCAGTATCACATTAACAGTGCAAAATTTACCGTAAATTTTATACTCTCCTTCAACAGATCATGAGTTTTGGTGTTTTTTTTTTTTAAATTTTTGCAATTGGCTGTCTTGGGTTGAAGTTAACTTCAATTCACAATTACATTATCTTCTATGACATTTGATATCCTGAAAATTTCTTCTTGCCCTTCGCTGATGCTCTCTTCCATTCTTTTGCAAACTACTGCATTTATTTTCAGCTAAATGATAAGTACTATTGTAATTTTTGTTGCTGTTGTGTTCGATACATTTAATATTAGAATATGTACGTGTAAAAAATAGATGCTTTTATTTAAATATATATATATATATAATTATTTTATTTTCTTATTTCTTATTTTATTTCTTATATCGGAGTAATATTATCATAGACAAAATAATTGAAAGACATTGTATGCTGTGAAAAATGATAGCATTTTTTCACTTTTTAACAACTGCATTACGTATCATCACTATGTTTATTTTCATTTTTAATATTTTTCTATAGAATTATCCGTATCATCCTAAAATAAGAAGCTATGTCAAAATAATCCTCAGATAAAAGATATGATGCTAATGTTTAATTATGATAAATAAGATGAAGAATTTGATGCTGAAAAGCTTGAACAAGTGCAATGATCTGCTTCTATAGAATTGTCACAGGTCTACCTATATTTGTGTCTAAAGGGACACTTTACTCCGAAACTGGTTGGGAAACTTTAAAATGCAGACGCTATATTAGAAAAATGACTACCATGTCGAAAATTCACAATGGGGAATGCCTGAATATCTGAGCGATATTGTCCTAAACAAACGTGAAAAATGAATCAAAATACAAAATCCGCAATTAAGAACAGTTCAGAGTCCCAAGATGTAGATAAGAATTATTTAAAAGATCTTTCATACCAGATGCATTTATTAAAGGTAGAGACGAGAGAAGCCATCTCACTCGATGTATTTCTTAAGAGTTAAGACCTTCATTACGAAAGTCAAAAATCCCCGAACGTATTTTCATTTGGAAGCCGCTATACAAATATAATCCATACTAAACTATGACACAACTGTATACTTAACTATGATCTATACAAACGTAAAATTGTAACTAGTCCTTATGTTCCTGTGATTTTGAAGATCATATCACTTTTTAATTTTTTTTCTTTTGTTTTTTTTTTACTTGTAAAAATTATCCTTATACTAGAACTAGTCTTTTTAACAGTGTGTTTTTGATTTATGAAGTGGTCACTGTTATTATTGGTGATGTAAATATACTTTTTACAGATTAATAAAATTATTTTTAATTTGCTGCTGTACACAAATTTATTGATGAAACCTGTATATTTTGAATTTCAGAGTTGTATGAATTATTTTGCTTGACATACATTTGTATTGTTATATTTAAGGATAGGAACCAATAAGTTGTTAGAACTTGTTTCCAATCCTTTTTTATTTTTTCAATGAAATATGTTCAAAAACAAAGAATATTTTTTTTTCTCGTTTAACAGACAATGATCCTTACAAATTAGATTTATCAGTCAAACCTCGCAAGGAGAGAACAGCTTTCACAAAACATCAGATCCGAGAGCTGGAAAAGGAATTCACCGTCCATAACTACCTAACTAGACTGAGGCGGTACGAAATCGCAGTGGCCCTCGATCTGACCGAGAGACAGGTACTATAGAATAATATTTACTTAATAAACTGTGTATTTGAAAGGAAGCATATCAACTAATAAATAAATATTTAATACAAACTAGTAAATTTCAGCAATTAATATTCTTCAATAATAAGAGAGTAATAAAAAAATTATCAAATGCTTATCAAACGCTTTAGCGTATTGCAGTGACAATACAATCTTCAAAGAGGGCATTGTTGGTAATAGATCTATTAATTTTATAATCACTGAAATAAGAAATATGATGTCGATAAAAATCTTTAGCTGAGTACATGTAAATCATAAAATGAACTGGAAAGATAGTTACTCACTCTCCCAAGTACTTTTCAACCACAGGTTTCTAAAGATATGTCATTTCTATTTATAGTTAACCTATTCATTCGAAAAAAATAAGTTCAATCAACAATTACGGAAAGTTTATTGATTTATGTTTGGTCTCGAAAAAAGAACTAAAACCGAAATTCATTTAGATTGATACATGTATATATACCACACGACTTTGAAGAAAAATCTTACACGGACAACACTTAGAATTAATTCAAGATTTGTAGCGTGTTTTAGTTTACGCACACAGTCTATTATATTTATAATGTTTACAGGGATTCAAAGAAAACATATTACTATTTTATTAGATAAGGTATGTGGGAAAATAAGAACTCTTCTAAAATCTTTTTCAAGCTGAACATATTTTTTTGTGCAATACTATGTTTGTGACATAGCATACAGTGTCAAAGCATACAGTAAGTCACGATCAATATGTATTTAGTACTTAAAAATATCTTAAAGATTTTTTATTCTCTCTTTTGCAGGTAAAGGTTTGGTTTCAGAACAGACGAATGAAGTGGAAGCGTGTAAAAGGAACGAAGCTGGTCAAAGACAAAGTGGACGGACAACTGAAGCCCATCATGGCGCCTAACATATCCTCAACAGCCTCTGAAGTACAAAACTGTGAAATTCAGCAAAGTTAACTCACGGATTAAAAGAAAAAAACATTGTCCATCATCTATACTCATATGGAAAATAATGCAGCTACATGTATATTTTTCTGGGAGTTTTGCAAAAATCACAATGTTTGAAATTTATGTGTACACAGAGAGTCGAACACTGGATGACACCCGCATCATGTGTTGGCGTGGGAGTAAAGCATCTATACCAAATATTGACTGTTGGTCGTGTATGCAACATAAGAAACCTTGCCTTTCTTAGGACTGCTTTAATTTGGAGATATCCTTTGACTATTTGAACAATGTCTCATATTCTGTACCCTGCCTTGTTTCAACTCTTTGGAATCATATTTAATATTCATGCATAAACGCCTTTCCTTCGAATTTTTGAGAGCCTGCAGCAATGTTTGTATGAAATCGTTTTCGAGTTTATCAAGAATATTCTTTGTCAGGTATTTACACGGATTAAAATCATCTTTTGATGAAAAAACAAGCCCTTTAACATTGAAAGTTCTTCAATCAGTTAACCAATTTGCAATTGACTGAAATCCCTCATTAAGACTTTCATACATACTTGTGTATTGAAATAAAGTTTTAAATGAAATCATCATGTTGTGTAACTATTCAAATAAAATTTGACTTGACTAAAATAGAAAAAAATTATGAATTTTTTTAAGTGTTTCGAAATTATGTAAGAATTCTTGTAGATCAATTTGTCAGAAACATTCAAATTAAGATGAATCATTTCAAAGAAGGGTTTGCATTCATAGATTTTTTCCCAACGGTTCAAGTCACAATATTCAATTTCAATAATATGTAATTACCCCCGGTAATCCGGAAAAGTTCATACATGTTTCCTCTTGGATTTAAAATACGTTTTTAAGGGAGAACCTATAAATTTTCGACAGTTGGCTAAAAAGTAATAGATATCAATAATGTCGTCCCCCATAGCAAAAGATATAAACAAGATGAAGGACAAGGGTTAATGAATTACTAGACTTTGCTAATAATGAGAAAGATATGTCGTTTACCTTAAAGTTCAATGGCATCATTAAGTTCTACATTTACAATGTACGTACAGTGGTATTGAATGCATAGACATTGATTTTAGAAAATGAACGCCATGAAAACGATATCATTTACTAGTAAATGAAATATTTATTATTATCCAGTAAATATATCTTTTTTTTCAAATAGCGAAGTTGTAGAATGATGCTTAGGACGATCATATCCTGTGTGTCGCTTTCTCCGGATATCATAAGGTTTATCCTACCAATAAAAATTTGTTTTCTTAAAAAGATCAAAGTCATATGTGGCCACATGTACACGGAAAACAGTTTATTTTCCTTCCTCAAGTAAAGCTATATCCATTTCACTTTAAATATGTGTATAGTGAAGAAGAAAACAAAGAAAAGCTTAACGAACGTGTGATGCACGTGAGAAAAAACTTCGCGCTAAACAATATGGTGGCCACGTGCTCACAACCATATTTATTGTCAATGTTCGATGCGGAAGTCTTGGTATGCTGTTATAATTATCTTTGTTTATGTTACATTAACTGTTATCACCGATAACAATTCGTTACATTCAAAGTTGGAATGTTCATGCGGGAAATTTACAATGAGGGAAATGAGATAAATCCTTCATTTTGTTCAGTACAAAATTACAGTTGAAATGAGTTTTTTAGATGAATGGCTGGAACACATCATTGCACAGGAAAGATGCACTAAAAATGTTCCCAAGATTACATTACATAATTAAAAAATGATATTCAATGATAACTGTTGAATTGATCAGTGATCTTATGGGAAAGGTCTAATCTAAGTAAAGAGCACTCAAAATAAGGGTAAAAATTGAGGGCAAAAATGGATGTCTTTTATTGATAGATATAACTTCACGTTGCATCGTGAGGCAATGAAGTCGAAAAACGCATAATAAACTTATGTTCGAGATCTTATACGTCATAGAGATGAGGGTTAAATCTGTATTCATGACTTGAGGAAGTATTGCATTTCACAATTCGAAATAAATGGTATTATTACATTTTCAACCGTGAAATACTGCGATTTATTCATGGAATAAAAGTGATATTCTCTCACAGTGTGAAAGGATACCAAAGTGATATTCCTTCACAGTGTGAAAGGATATCAAAGTAAGTAAAAATATAATTTCTGGCCTATAATAAGATTGAGAACGTAACTTAACCATCTTTGATAGAGACAAAAAACTGCCAGTTTCTTCCCAAATACGTTGCTTGCTTGTAATTGCTTGCTTGTATGCTCTTTTAGTCCCGTTCGAGAATTTTTCACTCTTATAGAGACTTCACCATATACCGGTGAAGGGCTTCAAATTTAGACCTTTACTCAGCACTCAGAGCCATTGAGTAGTGAGGGTTCTTTATCGTGCCAACGCCTACCGTGACACGGGGCTTCGGTTTTTTAAGGTCTCATCCGAAGGACCTGCAACTTTCACTTCAAAGTGCCGAGCGCTTGGCGAAGGAACATTTGCTACCTATTTTTTAGGTCAGTCGCGGTCGTGATTCGAACACACGTCTGACGACCTTCCGATCACGGCTAAAATCCATGTTACAACGTTTTCAGTCTCACAACTGCTAAACTATGACGTCTCAACTTTGACGTCATAACCTATGACACTGTGTTAAGAAAAAAACAGAAGCAAGGGGAAAATCAAAGAAAATGTAATAAACAAAAAATTCAATGTTTTGTAGTTGGATATGATATTTATTTCACTCGTGAGACAGGATTTTTTGATAATTTCATTCGTGCTTCGCACTCGTGAAAATATCAAAAATCCTGTCCCACTCGTGAAATAAATTCCATATCCAACTACAAAACATTGAATATCCTCTATTTATATGTAATATTAGTCCTAAATATCTGACGTTTTCCAGGCTTTTTTCATGATTTTGATATTTTATGTGCCAGGAAATATCTGACGTGCCAGGAAAACGTCAGAACCGGCGCCATTACGAAAACTGGAAATTCGCCGCCTCCAACTGGAGGCGACATTCTCGGGTTGATTTTCGATACTTGCGAACCGAATTAAATGCTGAATTCACAACTTATTAATAGTACAATGCCTTTAGTACTTACCAACATCGTTTTAATGGGTTTGCTTATGAAATACACAGTCTGGTGAAAACATTTATCAGACTGTCGAGTTTTCTTTTCATTTCCTGCATTTTAAAATCTTGCAAGACCTGTATCGAAATGTGTAGTGATATTTTCTTTTCATCGATATTGGTGAGTACTAGAAGCATTGTACTACTGATAAATTGTAAGTTCGGCATTTAATTCAGTTCGCAAGTATCGAAAATCAGCTCCGGTTGGAGACGGTGAAATTTCCAGTTTTCGTAATGGCGCCGGTTCTGACGTTTTCCTGGAATGTAAAATATCAAAATCGTGAAAAAAAGCCTGGAAAACGTTAGATACTTCGGACTAATGATATATATATATATATATATATATATATATATATATATATATATATATATATATATATATATATATATATATATATATATATATATATATATAATTATAGTATTCAGAAGGAATGCATCTTTGGCCCTAGCATCAAGCAATCAAAACTTACTGCCAAGGTTAAATTTTCAAAAGTAAATCAAATTCCAAGAGTAAGGTTAAAAGGGCAAAATTACTGGGACAAAAAGAAAGTTCTTGTCACAAGGAAAACACTTTGAATATTGAAAGCCCTAGCACCAACCAGTCAAAAGATTTGGCCAATGATAAAGTTTGACAACAGAAGGTCAAACAAGTTCAAGCTTAAAATTGTTTTTTGTTTTTACCCCAGAAGGGTCTTCTTGTCATAGGGAATATAAAATTAATGCAAAATATGAAACCTCTAGCTTCAACCATCCAAAAGTTATGGCCAAAGTAAAAGTTTGTCAAGAGTAGGTCAAAACTTTAGTATGAAATATGAAGATCAAAGGGAATGTTTTGTCATAAGGAATACTAGGAATACTCATACGAAATACGAAAGCCCTAGCTTTAATCATTCAAAAGTTATAGCCAATGTTAAAGTTTTTCAAAAGTAGGTCAAACTCCAATGCCAAAAGATCAAAAATTATTTATTATTATAAATTGGTTTTGATTCAAAATCAATTTATAATAATAAATAATGTGGGGAATGAAAGCCTTAAACATTCAAAAGTTATGGCCATGATTAAAGTTTGGTAAAATTTTGCAGAAGTGTGTCAAACTCCAAGCTCAAGAGGTCAAATATGTTGGTACCCAAAAGAAAGGTCTTGTGAAAAGGAATACACATGTGAAATATGAAAGCCTTTGTTTCAACAGATCAAAAGTTATGAACAAGGTTAAAGTTTTGCGCACGAATCGACAGACGGACGGAGAGAGCAAAAAGTATATGCCCCCGAATCTTCGATTACGGGGGCATAAAAACAAAAATTCAAGTACGTTTTAAATACATGTACTATTAAAAATCAATAATAATTCAAATGGTAATTATAAAAAGTGTGTCCCAAAGTAAATCAAACAGTTCCATAGTCCTGGATTTAATAGTCAACAAAACAGGAAAAATACTTAAATTCATAAAAACAGAGAAATTGATTTCACAAATTTAAATATTTACATTTCAATGTGATTTTATAAAAGAAAGAAAAGAATTTTCAATGAAATATAATATTGTCTTACAATTGTTTTACTACTATGATCCTGATTTAAGGACAACAAGCTTTTTTCAAAAATCAAGAAAAATAACAGAAAATCTGTGTTGATATAAGTAAAATGAATAAGTTTAGCCACATAAAGTTTCATTTGTCGTTCAAAGTGTGTCAATAATGTCCTATAAAATGATAAAAATAGGATATATTTATACATTGTACTAGTGGTGGCAAAAAAGGAAGAAATCTAAACATCATAGAAAGTCTACATGTTTGTAAAATTTCTTGGCATTTTTAAGGATTTGACATACGCATCATTTACAAGCAAAATAAGTCCAAAATATATCTATATATCCATGTGTTGCAAATTGGTTTGAAGCTTGTGTCCTTAAGCAATTCCATGATACCCGATATCGAGTTTGTTCAGGTCTGGAGGAAAATATATCAACCCCCCCCCTTTCTGTAATTTGTGAAAAGTTGTATTTATTTTGCAACGTGTGATGCAAAAATTAAGAAAACTGAGAAAAATAATCATTCCCTACAATAGCACCTGCGATATAATAAAACGGAAATAGTTGTAGAGGGAAATATCCTGCAGATGTGAGGCGATGCAAGGGTGAGAGTTTTCAAGGCGGAAAAGTGATGAATTTAACAGATTGTTATTAATATATATCGGTGGTCTCGACAGTGTAATTAAGTAGAGGAAAAGTTTGCCTTACTACTTTGAACCTTAATATCTTAGAAAGAAAATAAGTAACAACGCGATCAAAGTTTTCAAAAAAAGTCTTATTTTCTTAAGATGGGATGCTATCATTTTACATTTCTACCCGCTTTCTGGATGGAGACAAGTATACACCATTTAGGCACTGAAATTTGGATTATTAGAAAAAAAATTGCTTTGGATTGTACTGGATTACAATTAAAGAAAGAAAAAAAAATGAGAA